AAAACTAATTTAAGTTAAATTATTATTAGTTATAGAAGAAGAAAAAGAAGGCCTAGAATATATATATTAAATTATATAATTTTTTAAATAATATAAGCTTTAAAAAACCTATTCAAAGGGTGTAGCAACTTAGAGTAGTTGTTAAGTTGTTATTTTCAGGTGACAGGTTTAGAGCTCAAATCCCACTGAAGATGTTTTTAAAACAATAGGTTTGTATACTAGTAATAATTATTCAACGATCAGTTAGGTATATCATCTGTAATCTTTGTATTACCATCTTGAAATAGAAGCTCTTAGACAATCCAAATTTAAGAAACCAGAACAATTGAAACCTATTTAGCAAGACCCGAGCAAGAAGGTAGTGAAAATCTTCAATAATACTATGAAAAGCTAAAAACTGAAAACTGAAAAACCAAATGAAAACTCTAAGACAAGAAGAGTCTACCAACCTGGCCACTAGAGTTGCACTAAAGAAAAGGGTTTATGCTATAGAATTAGAAACCAAAAGAAGTAAAACCAGAAGGCACTTAAAGCCTAAATACAATAACTTATCCAAACTAACTGGTTTGGTAGTTTGGAAAGGATTGGTATAAGGACCAGTTTGACGTAGATATTAGAATCAGAATGAACCTTGTAAGGATATTGAATACTAGAATTGTGTAGTTTAATAGTTAGCTCTAACTGCTAGTGGTGATTTTTAGCTACTGCAGAAGGTATTCAAAGCCTAATCTGAAAATATGTGGAATATAAAAAGATTAGTGAAGTATGTACTACACCTCTCTTAGCACAACCTGGTAATATAATAAACAAATAAATTTTTATTAAAAAAAATTAAATTACTTTAACTTTAGGGTTAGGACAAGACTTGAGATTTTAGCAAGGTTATAGTATATACAAAATTTAGCAAGAAATTTTTTTAATTAGAACACCAAAGGTGGTTTCATATGTAAAATTTCGAGATATTAAGACTTTTTGATTTTTTTACTAAAAAAGTTTGTTTTTGTTACACAAAAAATGATCTACATGTTACACCTGATCTTAAATTTTAATTGGCTTTCTAATGATTTTGTGTAACAATGTGTGTACACACTAGTGTACAAATAGAAATTCTCTTAAAATAATTAATTTAAATTTATAAATATTTATTATTAAATATGAATATTACTAAACACATCTATGATATTTTATATTTATGTATATATTATCTCAAAAACTGGCTAATTAATTGGTGTAATATGTTCTAAGTAAAATGTTCTATGCTACCAAAATTCTTTCTTAAACCCTTATTCAAACTACAGGTATTAACCTTAATATAAAAAAATGTATGTTAAAAATTTTATATAAAAAATTTAAAAAATTTAATAAAAATATTTAATAGATACAAAACATCATAGATGCGTATTATAATAATTGTTAAATATAAGTATTTACTATATTGAATTTAAATATTCAAATAAATAATTTAAGTTTATAAAAATTTATAATTTTATTTTATTTTATTTTATTTTATTTTTATTTGTATTAAATTAACAGATAAATTATTTAAAAAGAGTAAAATTTTAAAAAAATTAAAAATAAATTAGAAACTTGATAATAAACCAAGCATGCTCAACTTAAGCTCTAGAACTTTTTGTATAAAGAGCTGATCTGAAAGTTCACACGACATGCTCCAAGTTTTAGGGCCAAGACTGACTTTACCATCGATGCTCATTATTGAAATTAATAAAAAGTCGCTGTGATAAAGTATTCACTCTTAAAAAAAGTTTTAATACGACTTCTCAGGCGAACGTGCATGCATGCCTGACGTTAGTGCATAGGCCCCAAATGATTTTGATATCTTCAATTTCATATAACCATAAAAATCGTATCGCAGAATAGCGATCATTACCAAACATTACGAATTTAACTCCTTTATGATGATGTATTTTTGCCTCAAGAAAATTTTTAAGGAAGATCAATAAAACCGAAAATAGTCTGATACAGTAGATACAGTAGATACAGTAGATGAAATTCCGTAAAAGCTGAATTTACGGTTACAATACGGAGTTATATAACTTATTATTAACCTAATTTATATTATTGCAGCAAAATCCTTTTAAACAAACTTTAAAAAAAAAAAAAGACTGATATCTTTTATTATTTAAATTAATTTGTAAATCATATGATTTATGCGATTGAGTTTTCGATTTTTTTTTTCTAGAATTATTCATTAACGCCTTTCTATAGTTTAATGAACAATAGCTTACCAGCCGATGGTCACATGATCAACCTGTAATTTGTATGTTTAATTTGTAAGTTGTGGGGGGTATTTTTTAACTTTTTGGTATTTTCATAAAAGAAAAAAGTTTTTAATACAATGTACTATATTTAATAGTGTTGCATTTGATAATTATACGTATTCGGGATCTGTTCAGGTATAAACGGCATGAAATACGTAAATGAATACAAAATAAAGTATATAGATATAGTAATAATCTCGATGCAGTAAGGAGAATAATTTTTAACTTCATATGATTAAAGAGATTGATTTTCAGGATATGCAGTTAAAAGTATAAGGCGTGCTTGCGTATTTACATACTAGCTACGGAACGTACGTACGTATGTTACGTACCTCGGGTTCTAACCACAAATTTAGTGGCATAACATACGCTTAGAGGGTATCCAGATTATCTAGATAGTTAAAATCGTTATGCATATGTCTGGTTTCGAATGTACGTATTAATTGTATTAATTGATAAAATATTAATGTTAATTCATATGAATTGTTGTAGTTAGGTCATGCGATACAAATCATGCGATTAACGTAAGAGTTTAAACGACTAAACATAAATGATATTGTAAATGACTTTAAATCGATAGGCATACATCAAATACGAATATCGTACGAGTTTCGAATTTGTTGAAGCCAATAGAATAAAAAGGATAAAACAAGATTAAAGATATAGTTATCAATGCTGAAAAAGAGAAGAAATTTAAAATGTATAGTTATTTTGATTAAAATTATATATGATCATCACTTCAACAATATATTGATCAGACGAGATCGATATCCTATTACATGATTACAATACCATTATCATCAAATGCTTTGTAGATTAAGCGACGCATCCTTTCCCCACCACATAATTAATAAATGCAGGATTGTGTGACGATTCAGGGGGGAGTGCTTTGATTACAAACGGTGTAAGTAAAATGAAACACTTACATAATTCATGTAAATGTAATGACCTTCCACATGGTAATTAATCGTGTGACAACATTTTTTAAATATAATCGTTTCACTTTTTAGTATTATATATTATTGTGCGTATTAACCGTTACATGACCGTTACAGATTACGATCCTTGCGACAGTATTATCGCACAGTATATTATCGCACAGTATTATGGCACAGTTATTATTGCACAGTATTATCGCACGTAACTATTTTTATTTTTTTAAAGTTTTACTACAAGTTTCAAAGACAAAGAAATTAAAAGTGGAATTTTATATCTTCTTCCTCTCAAAAGTTTAATCTGACAATTCGATGATCAACAAATTATGTATGCTATAACATATACAGCATATATGTACAACATATATACTGTGTTACATCCTTTTCCGAGGGAAAATGTAACCGGAGCTGCAATTGACGCTCAGAAGAAATTTTTTAGCGTTAGTTACAACGATAGGTGAAACTATATAAATAGCTTTATTCGTGAAACGCAGTGGCATTATTTTACACACAAAAGATTCGCTAATGAAAGGATTACAGCATTTAGTTAGACGAATCTAAAACATTTATTCTTGTACATACGTACGTAACAAAAAAAAAGCACAGTATTTTAATGCTGAGTTAGTGGTACAAATAAATGATTGTTCAAAAAATTTAGTTGTTCGTAAGTTATTGATTTTTATCACCAAGAATGAATAACTATCTTAAAAGTCTATGAAGGCATATGAAGGCATTATAAAGGTTTTGATTATAAAGGGTTTAATTATAAAGGTTTTGATTATAAAGGTTTTGATTATAAAGGGTTTAATTATAAAGGTTTTGATTATAAAGGTTTTAAGTATAAAGGTTTACTATAAAGGATTATTATAAAGGATCATGCTGAAACTCTATTCTATTAATAAATTTCAGTTATCAAAATGAAATTACATTAATGTAAAACAAAAATTCTATCAAAGGTTATGAAATGCTAAAAATAGGTTGTGTGAGGTATGTCATTTTTGTGCGAGGTAGTATTGAAGTTAATATAGAAGGTAATATTGAAGATGATATGGAGATGATACTCGAAATAGTTAACTTAAAAAAAATTTCTATGCTCGGATTAACCAGAGAAAATTATTAGGGTTACCTATTTACTATATTTTCATTTACTTTTCACGACGGAGCGGATAACAATGTACTAGGCTAGATATGTAAATTATCGCATGTCAATAAAACTTATTTCTTTATTTGGTCAAATACTTTTTTAGGCTTGGCGTTTTTTTTTTTTACATTATTATTTCATTTAAAAGGATTAGATTACCACCCTGCATTTTCTAAAACGAGAGCCGAGATTTCTTTTATGACGCAAAGTTTTTTTTTTTTCTACTTACGTTTTAGGTGTATTAATGCATATCCAACTTTTTTTCCGATTGTATATATTTGAAATAATATCGTATTTTGCGTTTGATTCATTAAAAAATTTTCATTACAATACTTACAATATTATAGAAAAAAATAAGATTTTTGGATCGTCTATTTGTCGAAACGTGGAGTTCGTGCTGTACCATGATTTATCGAAACGTGGAAATCTATTCGTGATCATAAAAAACATTCATATAAAGAGTTCACTTAAAGACTTACATATCATATTTAATATTCTAATGCATATTTATAAATATGCAATATAAGATTATGCACAAAGAATAGATAAAAATAAATAACCTTACCTTTAGACTTTTAATCACTCTGAATTTCATCAAAACATTTCGTAATATTTTTTTTTCTTTTTTTTTCTTTTTCATAGACAATGGCAATTAAAAAGCAAATATCAAAATTATTAAAAAAATGCGGTTTAAAAAAGTTTAAAGCCTTTTGTTCTTCATGTAAACCTAACAAAAGTCAAAATTGCGAAAATCAACCTTGTATAGATCAAATACTTGAAATTAATGCGCAAGAAAATAAAGAAAATAATAGGAATAGTAAAAGGCGCTCTGATGAAAAACCAAAACCTCTTTTCGACACTTCGTTAAAACCTTTAAATAATGATTTACAACAGCTGAATCATCAGAATAATAATAATAATAATAATCAGAATAATCAAACTCATCAAAATCATAGCAGCGAAAAAGTATCTCTTGAAAAATATGTAGAAAAATTATCTCCTGAAAAATATGTAGAGAAAGAAACTTTAGAAGAAAAGGATATGTTGGGGTAAGTTTCCTTTGTAATAAATAATATATTAAATATAATATATTAAATCTATTACTTATTAATATTTCTTATTATATTTTTTTAGTTCAGTTCCAATAAAACTAACCGTCGGTGAGATGCAATTCACAACAAGACAACAAACCCTCTGCGCATATCCTTCTTATTTATCTGAACTCTTTTTTATCTTCCGATCTCCAAATACCCTTTCTAATTCAAATCCTCTACATCCACAATTACCTTGGCCTGATAATTTATTCATTGATCGTGACGGTTCCTTATTCGTTTACGTCCTAGAATTCTTAAGAACTTCTACTTTACCAAAATTACCTCTTTCTACCTTACAAAAATTAGAACGTGAAGCAAAGTTTTATGCACTTAAACCTTTACAAGCTTTAATTTCTAAAAGAATTGATTTATATTTCTCTTTTCCGGAATTTAAAGTTATTCCTGTACAAAATATTTCTTCCCATGAGTTTCCTCAATTTCCTCGTTCTTCTTCCAACCTTTATGATTCCATTTTCAAAAATTATGATGTAGAATATAATGCTCGTAATACCTCTACCTCTTACGATGATTCTGAAGAAACCATAACCGGAACTAGAGATGATGATGATAATGATGATGATGATGATGATGATAATGATTGGGATAACATCTCTGATTCTTCTTATGTTGAGGTCCCTATAATTTATAATCCAACCAACGAATATACAAATGCACTTAATATTCATAATGATTTGTCTCAAAATCCCCAGTTCATATCTCAAAGATTTCATTTAAATAATTCTTCAAATTTTAATTTTAATCATAGTAATTTAAATGTTAACAACAAAATGTTTGGTTCGGATAACTCTTTTTATCACAATTTTAATTTTAATTATTATAATCACAACTTTAATCACAAAAATTATCACTATCCTAATTCGTTTACCTCTTCAAATAATCATCCTTCCATGAATTTTACAAATCATTTACATAACAAATCTGAAATTCCAATCGCTTTAAACTCTAAGGATTTATATGCTCCTGATTACGATCTTATTACCGTAACTACTGTCCCTATCTTCTTTAAAAAATGCCCTTTTGGTCATGGCGAAGAAAATCGTGTAAATGATTTCTATTGTGATACTTTATGTAATGAGGATCATGTTGTATTAGTTAAAGAAATCGTTACCTGTATGGTATTTAAAAGGAAGGATACCTAAAGGATTTGGTGATGAACTAATATGTTTTATACTTACGTACTTATATTACGTACTTATGATACGTACGTACTTAAAAAAATATGTACGTATACGTATATACTTGTACATAGATATATATATATATATGCGTGTAGGAAAATGATTTAGTTAATTTAAACCTCAAAATTCCTATGTAGTTAAATTTGTGAATTACTTATATTATTAATAGACTGACATACTGTATTACGGTATAATAGACTAGAGATACCGTACTATGGTATTATAGACTAGAGATACTGTATTATTGCTCATTTGTATATAGATGCAATCTCTTTTATTTTAATTTTGTTTATTTTTTGTGTCTTCTTTTTTTTTTAAATCAATGTAGATTAAGTGTTGTATATTTGAATTCAATAAACTTTTCTAGTTACATTTCAACTGGGAAACTCTATTTTCATTCGTGTTATCGATTTTGATTGGATGTACTACTGTATGTGAAAATCCTTTCTAAATTTTAAACCGACTACTAGAAATTTGATAAAATTTCTTTTATTTAATCCTATAAACTTATATAGAATGAAAATAAAAAAAAATTAATTTAAAATTGGTCTAGTATTTGTTGAAGAATATTTGTATAAAATTGTTAAATATAGAAAAATAACTTTTTTTGATATATAATTATGATACTAAATAAATTTAATAAAAATTTTTTAACTTCTACAGGTCTGTAGAATTTAATTAAAATTTTTTATTGAATTCCATTAAGTGATTTTTGAGATATCTTTTAAAATTTTACTGCAACTTTTATTTAATAGATATTTCAAATTTTAAATTCTCTTTAAACAAAAATATTTCAAATAAAATTTAATAAAAATTTTTATAAAGTTAAAGAATTAAAATAAGATTTTTCTGAATCTTAAGGTGAGACTATGCCTCTAACTTTATTGAAACTTGATTGAACTCTTTACAAGAGAATTTATAAGAAAAATTATATATAAACTTCATATTCAAAGGATGCAAAACTAGAGACTCAGACAAAATTTTTTGTAGCCTAAATCTAAATAAAAGATTTATTAAACTTTATTAAATAATTGTTAAAATATTTTTGGAACTAGACTCAATAGACTTTATATACTGTGTGCTTTTCTCTAATATCTTAAAATTTTATTATACTAACCCATTGTATAACTAAACAAAAATATTTTTTTATTGTAATTTTATTTTAATCTAACCTTAATATTAATTATAATTTTAACTCTAATTTATATTTTAGTTCTAATGTTGCTATAAATATACTATATACCAGAGTACTATTTAGATTTTTTATTTAAAATTTTAAAAAAATTAAATTTTAGAAAAAAATTAGATAATGCACTATATATTTTGCACCTTCTTATAAAATTCTTATAATATTGTTAATATCTTGAATTTTGACTAAGTAATCCTATTGTATAACATAGACAAAATGTTCTTCTCACAATTTTACCATATTTTAACTCTAACCTAACTTCAATTTTAATTTTAATCTAATTTTAATTTATATTGCTAGCTTAGTTTTGCTATAGAGTATACAAAGTGCACTAGTATATTGTTTAGATATTTTATAATTTTTATTTAATAAATATTTTAGATTATCTTTTAACTTTTAGGCTTTCTAGACAAATTTGTCTAAAAAATTTTTATAAATCTATATTTTTTAAATTTTTTTCTTTACAATTTGGCAGTCTTGCTACTTTTTATTTGCAGATTAAACTATATTAAGAAATTTATATTTTTTAATACTAGCTATACTAATCCACCTGATAAGTAGCTTACCTATGCTTTCACCAGATATGACTTGTCTCAGTGGACTTCAAGCCTCTCTCCAAGCTCCTAACTTACTAGAGATTATTCTTTGGTCATGGGCTAGTGCCACACATCATATCAAAGTTAGCTTTCCTTTTTCTAAAATGAAATACAAACACAAATGTAAAGGGCAAAATAAAAATGGGAAAATACTACGGCATCGAGTTCTGGTCTATCTAAACTAATAAAACCAAATAAAACAAATAATAAAAAAAAGAAACCAAAGAAAAGAAACAAAGATAGCACTATTAAACCCATGCTGGACTATAAAAATTATATAGTACTACAAATAAGCTAGACTAAACTCTATGCTAGTTATTTATGTCTATATCTAGGATATAAAAATATTAAAAACCATCTGGTCTTAAAGTAGAGCTCCAAGGTTGAAACTTTCAGTACTATTCTAACTAAGTCGGCAGGTCTTCTGTAGTGCTTCAAACATTATCATATTATCTACTACTATTCATCCCAAAGTAGACATATACACATATACGTGACTTTCTTTTTTTAGCAGCTGTTACTATGTTGATCTTTTGCTGAGAGTATGTCATTTTTTCTACTTTTTGCTGAAATTTCAAAAAGTACAAAAAGTGGAGTTTGGTAAAGGGTTTTGGTTTGTGGGTATTCTTAAACTTTGGTAAAGAGTGTATTGAAAACTCACTTGTTGTTCTCCTTAGATCAACTATCTTTAACTTCATCAGCAGAAGCAGGGCTTCTAGAAAATTTTTTGTATAAGGGCACCACCTTTTTGCCAGTTATCTTGTACAAAAATACTTTAACTTGCATGCTGAATATACAAAGGAGTCCAGAGAAAATCAAGCTGAAACCTTGACTTTGTAAAAACTATTATTTATAGTTGTTTCTTCTACTTTTCTTCAACAAGTTACTGTTTTCGTTAGCCATAAGTTTGGTACAAGTGATCATTGGGGAGAATTGTATATATTTTTTAATTTTTAAAATATTTAAATAAAATTTTTTCTAATAAAGTTATATAATTTAATGCATGTACATTGTAACCAGTATTGGCAAATAGAATAATAGAATAAAAGCTCAATTTTTTGTCTTCTTATAAGAAAAATTTTTTATTAATAATTTGCAATTATTTAAATATATATTGTTAGAACATTAGTAAAGCAATAAATTTAAAATATTTTTATATTTAATTAGTAAAGTTTAATACTTAAAATTTACAATAGAAAAATAAAAAAAATGAATAGAATTAGAAGCCAATAGAAAAAACATATAAATGTGACAACACTGATTGTAATGTATTCCTAATCAACTAATTAAAATGTAAGATCAGATGCAAATATTATATAATCGAAAAATTCAAAACAAACATTTGTTTTGCCAAAAACCGCTTATAACTCCAAATTTTGTATATACAATTACCTTTTAGATTCTAACAAAAAAATTTCTTGTAAGATTTTACTATAATTCATCTTCTATATCTACCTTAACCTTACTCTAACACTAACCTTAATCACATAAAAAACCATTGTTTTAATTTTATATTATATCTGATCTTATAGATGCATTACAATGCATCTGCAATAAATAATTAAATCCTTTCTAATAATATTTGAAAATAAAAATTATATTATAATAGTATTTAATTTTATTTTATAAAAATAATATTTTAATTGCTTATAAGATAAAGTATACCAATTTAAAAAAATTTTAATCAAAAAATTATCTACTTATTCTTGACAAACTCTTAAAATATTAATTTTAAAGCTATAGTTCTTAATATAAAATTTTAGCTTATATAAAGAATAATATATAGTTATTGAATACATAGCAGATAATAATTATAGTTATTTAATAAGTATAACAATTATATTGTAATTTAGCTATTATAGTATATACTTCTTAATATCATAAATCTTATTCACTACATATAACTTTTTATAAAGTTCAAGTTTATACAGACAATATCTTTAATAATTTAGCAGACTCTCTTGCTAAACAATATATAGTTACTCCATATCTTGAATTTAATTATATAAATATCTATAATATATACTACATGTTACAATGTGAAGAAGAAAATTCTTTGTTGAACAATCTACATGATCTTTTATTAAAACTATTTGCAAAGCCTATATTTTAGCAATATAATTATTTCAGCAATACAATGAATAATGGTCTCAAACTAATAACAGAATTAACTAGTAATCTATCTAGTTATATTTTAATCATAACTACAAACCTACCTATAATATTACAAACTTTTTTTTTTTATTTTGAATTTGCTGTATATATAATAAAATTAGTTACAGATTTGTATTAAGATGATATTAATTTGAACTATCTATTGTATTTTATATAACCACCTAAATGTAGCAAATCACTTCTTAATTTTCTATTTATAAACTAACTTAAGACTAGCTACCATTAGTTATAGGGAGGGAAAGAGGAAGCCCAGTAGTTGAAGTATAAGGATTAATAAAAATATAAAAAAATAGAAAAGTTTTGATTTTGCCATTTTTGAATAAATAGATTAATATTATGATTATAGATTGTTGTTGCAGAGGTTCTAGTAATGATATTTGGTAGAGAGAATTTAATTCGTTTGGATTTAGATGTGATATTTCTTGAGGTTTCCTAGTTATATTAGAATTGATTTCTAATTTGCCAAATGTTTAAGTTAAACCAGGAAAGAAGATTATTAGAGAGATAGAGGCAAAAGTTGGTAGTATTTTTAGTAAAGATAGATTGTAGTTGGTCAGTAATACAAAAAGGAATTGTTTCTTGTATAAGGAAGAGGAGGTTTTGAAAAAGTGTGTTGTGAGTATTTGAGTTAAGTAGTATATTTGTAATTGTAGTTGGAGTTAAAATTAATGTAAGTATATTAGTAAAAGGATTAATATCATCTAGATGAATTGATGG